AACACCTCCGCGACGGCCAGGCCAGCGCTTCACATCCTCGTCTCGCCCCGTAACGTTAAGTACGAAGTTGGAAGAAAGGAACAGGCCGGTGAAACCTTAGCTCAGAGTCGCCATCAGATAAGGCCCCACACTGCCTCCAGCCCCCAGAACTGGCCTTAGAAACATTCCAACCCCCTCGCCCTGGGGTCCTAACACCCGGGCAAATGGTCACCGAGGCGGCACGGCGGGGGTCGCCAAATCAAACCGTGCGAGCGCCTTTGCTTCGTCTCCATAAATCGTTTGGTTTGCGTGGTCTGCGGTGTGTGGGTGGGTGTCCCCGAAGGATCGGGGCAAAGGCTGGCGTTCTGTATGCGCCCCCGGGGGACTGGGCGTCTTTCTCCGCGCGCGCGCGCGTTTCCCCGCGGGTTGTGTGCGCGCGCTTCTCCCTCCCCCGCGGGTACGTGGGTACGTGTCTCCCTCCCCGGCCGGGTCTGTGTGTCTCCCGAGTGTCTGCGTTTCCCCGCGGGTTGTGTCTGCGCCTCTCTGTCGCCCCCCCCGGGCCCCCGCCCGGGTACGTGTGTACGTGTCTCTCTCCCTGGCTGTTTGTGTGTGTGTGTGTGTCCCGGGTGTCTGTGGATCGCCCTTTCCCCGGGTGTGTGGGTATGTGCGTGTGTCCCCGTGTCTTCCAGATGTTTGGGCGTCTCTCCGTGTGTCCCCGGGCTTGGGTGTGGGTCCCTCTCCCCGGGTTTGTGTGGGTGTGGGAACTCCTCTTTGCTCCTGCGTCAGTCGGTAGGAGCCAGGAGGCAAAAAAAACAAAATACAAAAAACAAAAAAGCCCAGCCGTCCCCGTCCCGGGACCGACGACGGCCCCGCGGCTCCGCTCAGCGCGCGCCCCAGCCGCCCGAAGGCCGGGGCGCACGCTCCCCCCCCCCAAACTTGGACTGTGTCGCCGGCGCCCCCGGCCCCCGCCCAGCCCCGAGGGGCGTCCGCGCTCCGCTCACCTCGTGGCCGCGCAGAGGACGCCCGGAAGCTCCCGGCCGGCGCGTGCAGGGAAAGCCGGGGACGGGCGCGCGGGAGGCGGCGGCGCCCGGGTCCGACTCGGGCAGCTCACGTCCAGCGCCGAGGGAACAACATGGCGGCCGGCCGGGGCGGGGCCCGGGGACGAGAGCTCCGGCGGCGGGGCCCGGGGGGGCGGGGCCTCGGGGCCGCCGGACGCCCCGCCCTCACCTTCTGTCCCCTCCGCTCCTCGCCCGCCGGCCCTCTGGCTAAATCGTGGTCCCCCCCCCCCACTAACCCCACCAGCACCACCACCGGGGTCGGCCGCGCCTCGTGTCCTCGGCGGCGCTCCAGCGAGAGAGAGAGAGAGAGAGGGCACGAAATCTGTTATCTTTAGAAGTTTACTAACGTGGAAATAAACAGATCGCAACGGCACAACCGGGCTTTTGTGATCACCATAAGAACACTAGTATGCAAACGGGTAGATGGAAAATGGTAACAGCGGTGATACTGTAGCGTTACAGGCATTGTTAACATTAAATTTAAAACTGTTCCGTAATCTTGTTAAACTCCTGCCTCTGTTCGCTCTAAATATAGAGCAGTGGTGGGGAAAGGCTGCATTGGAAAAGCTCTTCTCAGTTCCTCACTTTATATATGGAGTTAAGTGCATCGCTCTTAAGATACATGTCCCTGGAGACCAGAGGGACTTTCGGTGACCTCTCTCGCGGCGTAGATTTAGTTTGTTTGTATCGCAAGAGAAGGATCTCACTTTATGATTTGCTGGGCCCACAGTCATTAAATAACCTCAGGCTTTTTAGGGAGTCTTTTCAGGTAAAGGATCTAATGTAGTCTTTATATTCAGCATTAGAAAAAGTATGTTTAGGAGAGTTTCTCGCAAGTATAAAACACAATTTTAGAATACCCGTGAAGATGCAATAAAGACGGAGTTCTAGTTTGAGCTTAATTGAATTTTTCTTATATTAAAAAATCTATTTGGGGCGCCTGGGTGGCCCCTTTGATTGAGCATCCAACTCTTGATTTCAGCCCAGGTCATAATCCTAGGGTGTGGGATTGAGCTCCATGCTTAGCATGGGGCCCACTTAAGATACTCCCTCTCTCTCCCTCTGCCCTTTTCCACTGCTAGCCTGTGTGCGCTCGCTCGCTCGCTCTCTCTCAAATAAAAAAAAATTTTTAATCTATTTTTTATCCATGCAGAATATTTCCCCAAGGAAATTCAATTAAAGGTTTACAAAATACAAATCTGTTGAAAGTAGGGAGGGGAAAGAGATACTTATTATCTTATTTTAAACACAAAATAATTAAAGCTACAAAATAGGGGCACCTGGGTAGCGCAGCTGGTTGAGCTTTGGACTTTGGCTCAGGGCGTGATCTCATGGTTTGTGAGTTCAGGCCCCGCCTCGGGCTCTGTGCGGACAGCTCAGAGCCTGGAGCCTGCTTCGGATTCTGTGTCTCCCTCTCTCTCCTTCCTCCACTCATGCTCTGTCTCTCTCAAAAATAGATAAACATTTAAAAAATTTTCTTTAACCTGAGGACCTTTTTAAGAAAATAAAACCACCTACACAATAAAACATGTAAGAACTTTAGAATTGGTTTTCCCCAAGAAAAAGTACTAGTGTCATGTATATTGAACGAAAGTGCAACAAGCAATCTACAGAACCACTAAGGAAATGCTGTCTGAAAACTGTCTGCCGTAATCACAGGGGGTGATGATGCACTTTATCTCTGCAACTGCTAATACACACCGGCTGTTAACAAGTGCTCCTACGGAAGGGAAGTATTATATCTCGATTTAAAGTTAGCCTTGGGAGGGGCGCCAGGGTGGCTCAGTCAGTTTAACGTCTGACTCTTGGTTTCGGATCAGGTCGTGCATGATCTCACCATTCGTGATGTTCGAGCCCCAGGTCCGGCTTGACGCAGACAGCACAGAGCCTGCTTGGGATTTCTCTCTCCCTCTCTGCCCGCTCCCCGCCCAGCTGGTTCTCTCTCAAAACAATAAATCAATAAACATTTTTTAAAAAATAAAGTAAGCCTTGTGAAATCCAAGAGTTTTCAAAAAAAAGAGTTCTAAGAAGGTTCTACAAGTGATTCTTAGGCTGTAAATGTAAGCAAGGCATACAGACATCAGAGTGTAGCTTACAGTCAGCACCTGAAGAAAGAATGAGTCACTTTTTCTGAAATAACTACTACTTAGACACTGGACCACTGACGCTTAGGAATATTCATATATTCTGGGGCACCGGGGTGGCTCAGTCAGTTGAGCACCCGACTTTGGCTCAGGCCCCGAACTTAGGAGTCTGAGCCCGCATCGGGCTTGCTGCTTCACAGAGCTCACACTTCAGAGCCTCTGCTCTGTCCCCCTCTCTGTGTGCCCGCGCCCCCCATGTGTGTGCACTGGCTCTCTCTCAAAAAATAAACATTAAAACAAAAAGAATACTCATATTCTGATCTCTCCCACCATTCACTTCTTTACCTAATTGATTCGACAGTGCAAGAGTAGGGTGGGTCTAAAGATTTTTCCTTGAAGGGCAAGTTTGGGGGATTTTTGTTGGTTTTTTGTGTGTGTGGCTGGTAAGCCGACACACGTTACATATATGGTCTCTATTTCTCTTGTTCCATGACCGTGTTTACTGACGAAAACCATTTAAAAGTTGACCTCACTTGACTCACTTCATCTAATTAAGAGTTTTGTCTTTCTGTTCTCTCAACATCTATTGTGTCACTCCCGAGGAAAAAGAGGTCAAGGCTGCTGAGCGTTAATGATTTCTTTCGTTAAATGACACCTACTTATTACTGTGAGCACTGGGAGTTAACACCCCATTTCCAGCTGGAGTCTGAAAAAAATCATCTCTGGTATCTCTGATGGAAAGCTACAAATAAGTGGTCCCCAGACTCGGGTATCATAAACACTGATATAATTAAACTGACTGTACTTTTCACATGCAAGGAAAAACACAGAACTCGATGGTAGGCGATCCGACCATTAAATGACATATCTAACTAATTAGAAATTTTCTATTTTCCCTAAACCATAACCAAAGTAAGAGATTTGTTCTCAATATTACATAGATATACTTGTATAGCTGTACTGAGAAGAGAGAAAGACATAAAAAGTAAGTTGAAATCCATTTTATTTGGCTTTCAAGTAAAGTGAGAGTGAAAATAAGCAACAACAAACAATAAATAAAAAAGAATATTATCAAATATTATAGGAAGGGGGCGCCTGGGTGGCTCAGTCGGTTAAGCGTCCGACTTCGGCTCAGGTCATGATCTCACAGTTCACGGGTTCAAGCCCCAAGTTGGGCTCTGTGCTGGCAGCTCAGAGCCTGGAGCCTACTTCGGATTCTGTGTCTCCCTCTCTGCCCCTTCCCTGCTCATGCTGTATGTCTCTCTCTCTCTCTCAGAAATAAAAAACATTAAAAAAATATATGAAGGAAAAATCCCACTTTGGTGGAAGAAACATTTCTTATAGAACTTCAATAAATATTGAAAGATTTATCTAATAATTATGTATTTATATGTATATATTTACCTAATATATACATTTTCAATATTTCAAACCAATGTCACACCCTTCCAATTTGCCTAGAAACTAAATTCAGCATGTTTCTTACACGAATGCAAACTTTTTCTCCTGATCCTCAAGTTGGATAAAATTTCAATATGAGAAAATACCAGAATCTGATTTCTTCACTACTTAGCTTACAAAGGAGTACTAAATCAAAAGACAGATGGTAGCATCGTCCTTAATCTGTATATCATTAGTGAGAAATTTTCAGAGTTTGCGATCTTCAGATCGACGCGATCAAATGGAAAGCCTGAGGCGCAACCATGATAGAACGGATATTCTCTCATGGGTCCCGTGAGCTCCGTACAGTGGTCCCTGTTGAATGGCTACCTGGGAATCAAGAGCCCCCAAGATGTAGGAAGAATTCAGGGGGTGTCCCCAAGCACCCCCTGCATTTTCGCTCCTGTCTCCCAGCTGCGTTTATATCATACGGCCTTACCTCGGTGAAGGAAATAGATTCAGTCCCTTCCTTCGGAGAGCTCAGAAGAGTGAAAGAGACATTCAATAAGCAACTCAGCAAATGTGCAGCAAACTGGATGAAGGGCCTCGAAGGAAGTAAACAAGGTGCAGTCGGTGGGAATGCAGGGGGGTGGTATCAGAGAAGGCATGAACGAGGTGACGCGTGCTGAGCCGTAAAGACAAGCAAAGGGCAGCGAGCAGGGTGTGAACAGGTGGTACCTGCTGAGAGAACACAGTCCATTAAGAACCTAGCACACGGTAGCACACAACAAAATACTAAATAAAGAAAAGACGAAAACTATGAGAAAAATCCTCATAATTGATGGAAAAGCCGAAATTATAGTTGTTTCTCTAGCTCTAATGTATTCTCTTAAAAAAATATTAAGCGCATTTTGAATAGGGATCTTCCTTCTCCTACCACATTCTAAACATAGCTTAACTCAGGTAATTACAGGTGGCAGAATGGAACAGGCATTATGATTCTGGAATGTAGGGGGGAATCTGATCCCTTTGCTGATTGCCTGATGAACGTGAGTCATAAATGAACTTTGCCTTTAAAGGCAGTTGAAGGGAAATTCCAGGCACGCCATGGCTACCTTATATAAAAAGTATATTTGTGTGTGGGTGTGGGTGTGGGTGTTTCTGCATTTGAGTGTTTATTTTAAAAAAATGGCAAACAACAAGAACAATCAAAACAGTTGATCACTGGGGCAGCAGGATTCCGCGTAGTTTTTATTTAAATTTTGAATTCCATGTTACAGTACTTTTATGAGCAATAAGTAGAATTTTAAAAAAATTTTTGAGGGGGGGTAAGGGACAAAGGGAGAGGAAGAGAGAATCTTAAGCAGGCTCCATGCCCAGCACGAGGAGGGGCTCGATCTCACAACCGTGAGATGGTGACCTGAGTGGAAACCAAGAGTTGGAGGCTTAACCCACTGAGTTACCCAGGCGCCCCAGAAATTTTTCTAATGAAGCAACTTTAAGCAACCTTTAGAAATACTTTATATGACACCCAAACAGAAACTGTACTGAACACAGACAATATGCTTGGAAATTCAAAAGGACTCTATAAAAAACTTACCAAAGAGGTTAACAAGGCAGGCGGCCTGCTGTAGACTAGATGCTTGTGTCCCCTCAAAATCTACAGGTTGAAATCCTAATCTCCAACATAATGGTATCAGGAGGTGGGGACTTTGGGAGGTGACTGGGTGAGGGTGGAGCCTTTGTGATGAAATCAGTGTCATTATAAGACCTCATAAAGCTCCCTCATCCCTTCACTATCTGAGGCCACTGTGAAAATAGGGCATCCATGAACCTGAATGTGGGCTCTCAACAGACACCGAGTCTGCTGGAAGCTCTTGGACCTCCAGCCTCCAGAACTGTGAGAAATCGGTTTCTGTGGCTTATAAGCCACCCATCTGATGGCATTTTGTAACAGCAGCCCAAAGGGACCAAGACAGTGACTAGATTAAAAATGTTCAACAAAAATAAATTCCGTTTATACAACCAACCAATCCCAGAAATACAAATCAAAGCAGATACCATTTTCAATAGCAAAATTATAAAACATTTAGAAATAAATATAACAGGGGCACCTGGGGGGCTCCGCTGGTTAAGGATCCGACTCTTGGTTTTGGCTCAGGTTGTGATCTCACGGTTTGTGAGTTTGAGCTCTGCATCAGGTTGTACACCGAGAATGCAGAGCCTGCCTGGGATTCTCTCTCTCCGTCTCACTCTGCTCCCTGCTCGCTCTGTCTCTCTCTCTTAAAACAAATAAATAAAATTTAAAAATATATTTAAAAAAAAAAAGAAATATAACGGAAAAAGTGAAGATCTTAGTGGAGAAAAGTAGGTGTGGTGTCTGATAGGACCAGAACCATGCCGCCTAATACAGTAGCCACTAGCTACATGGGGTTACTTACGATGACGTATAAATCAATTAAAATCATAGCATTCAATATTCAGTTACAATATAGTCATTTATACTACACTGCTTATGTTATACCCACATAAAGGGAAGCGCGAATTACTAAAAAAAACAACACAGATTAGGAGTTGTAAAAGTTTTCTTATCTTCTCAGAGTCTTGGGGGGTTGCGGGGGGAAGGGTTTTCTTAGCACCTGAAGGCCCTACTGTTAGGGAGCCAACTATTTTTTTAATTTTTTTAATGTTTTATTTTATTGTCGAGAGAGAGAAGACAGAGCGCGAGTAGGGGAGGGCAGAGAGAGAGGGAGACACAATCCGAAGCAGGCTCCAGGCATGGAGCGTGTCAGCACAGAGCCCGAGGCGGGGCCCCAACTCACAAACCATGAGATCATGACCTGAGCGGAGGTCGGACGCTCAAGCGACTGAGCCACCCAGGCGCCCCAGGGAGCCAACTATTTTGTGAGTCTTTTCACTATAGAAGCTCTAAAGGTCAGATACTTCGATACTTGCTCTTCCAGAACCCTGGCAATGAAGAATACAGGCATGAGACCCTCTACTGGCCCATCAGATACTTACTTTCTTTGAAGATCTGACTCTTAGGCAAGGAACACAGAGATGCTGGAATAGCTCAAAGTTCATTCCGGCACAGGTAGTGGTGGCCTCCGGTATCCAGTGAGCACAGGTGGCGCCAGTGGTGATGATGCCAGTGGCAGTGCCTCCTGCCTAGCAGGGACAGCATCTTCATCAAGCCATTCGTGTTGTGTTGTGGCTTCTCATTGTTCCTGTCCACTGTCCAAACTCAATTTTCCAGCCTGGCCTCTAAGAACTACTCCATACCTCCCTGAGAAATTCCTTTTCTAAGTCAGAAGGAGTCGATGTCTTTAAAACTACAGTTGATACTTGAACAACGTGGGGGTTGGGAACACTAACTCCCATGCAGTCAAAAATCTGTACATAAATTTTGGCTCCCCCCAAACTTAACTACTAATAGCCCACTGTTGACTGGAGGCCTTACCAATAGTATCACTGTCCTATAAAGTCATACAATAGATGTATGTATATGTGTGTGGATATATATATATATATATATATATATATTTAATGTCCACATATATATGGACATGAGCCATTCAAATTTGTGTTGTTCAAGGGTCAACTGTACAAATTCTGAGTGGTACCAAGTTCGGATGTATCTTATAGATCATCCAGTACAAATTTACTGTGATTCATAACATAAATTCAGGTAATTGGAACTATATACCTCTCTTCCCACTTTTGTATCGATCAGCTTAGGCTCAGCCACACTGTGGTAGAAAAGATGACCTCCCCCACCCCCACCAACTCTTATGGCTTATTCTAGGCCATGCTCCCTCTGGACCCAAGCTGATGAACTTGAGCTAATGGAGAAGCCCCTGTCACACATTCTGTAGGTCTCACTGGTTGAGAGAAAAGAGACCAAAGTACTAGAGCTGCTGGCTCTTAAAGCTTCTATCTGGAAATGACACGCATCATTGCCATCCATATGTCCTTGGCCAAAGCAAGCCACTCATTAGGATATACAATCCTGCTGAAGGGAGGGGCACTGCAAGTCACGTGGCAAATCTGAGCTCAGTGGTATGGCATTCTAGAATTGTCTCCCTGGGAAGGTCATCAACTCACAAACCATGCTCTTGTGACTCAGGGCTCTGTTTTATGAATTTGGTCAGTTTCAAATGCCATAACGTGAATGAAGTAAACTTATTTTGAATACATTTTTTTGCTGGAGATTGGGTTGGAAACTAACACTAACAACAGTAACATTTGATCCAGTTTATGACATTTGATCCAGTTTCTAAAGCTGAGATGCGGCCTTCCAAAGCACAGGGTGGGGTAGGTAGAACAGAGATACGTATGAACTCACTGAGATCCCACTCTGAGTAAAAACCTATCTTCCAAAATCGAATTAAGCCACTGACCACACCCAGAGTTAATCTTGGGGCTTTGAGGGATACAAACATCACTAAGATGTGCACAGGAATTTCATGGACAGTTAAAGGGGGGAAAACAGGCCCAGTGATAACACAACACAGTGATAAAACAGAGGAGAGCTAGGATGGAGAAAATTCACGGGATGAGCGAAGTGTGAAATCTCTCAGCCTGGAGATACAGTGGAATTGTGTGAGGAACAGACACATGACTCTATAGCCAGCCACAGAGTTCTTTTTTTCTTTTTTTTAGGAAGCCATATATTGCAAATGCACAATAATTTTATACCACACGGTATGCGTGTCTGGAAGAAGGCATGCAGGGGAGGAAAAACTGATCCAAGACATTGCTGAGAACCCCTGACCTTGCTCCTTACTACACAACGGCTGCAAGCCTTCATTAAAGACAATGGTTACAGTTGTGAAATCGGACTGAACTCAACTTGGCCAACTACAGTAAGTGACTACAGGAAAATATCCTTATTTCCCTTTTCTTAAAGAAAAAAAAAATCTTGTGACCTTTATCTTGTAGATAAGTGGGGGGGGTTGTCTTTCAAAATGTCAAGTGTTAACATGTGATTACCAAAAATTATTGACTTAAAAATGTGAAGAAGTGCAATTATGACAGATGTAAATATGAATTTATTTATGTAAATTCAGTTAAAGCTGCACCTGAAATAAAGGCCAGCACAGTTCCTTTGGTTAGTAAAATATGGTTTACTTCTTGGGTTAAAAAAACAAACCCCCCCCCCGGGGCACCTGGGTGGCTTAGTCGGTTAAGCATCCGACTTTCGCTTGGGTCATGATCTCGCGGTTCGTGGGTTCGGGCCCCGCGTCGGGCTCTGTGCTGACTGCCAGCTCAGAGCCTGGAGCCTGTTTCATTCTGTGACTCCCTCTCTCTCTGACCCTCCCCTGCTCACGCTGTCTCTCTCTCTCTCTCTCTCTTAGAAATAAATAAAAAACATTAAAAAAAAAAAAACTTCATTCTTTAAAAAAAAAAAAAAAACAACAAACAAACCCCCCCCCCCACAAAAAGCACACATGTGAAAGAAGCCAGACACAAAGGCCCCATATTACACAATTCCACTGGTATGAAATGTCCAGGGTAGGCAAATCCGTAAGAGACAGAACGGAGATAGTGGTTCCCAGGAGCTGGAGGGAGGGAAGAATGGGAAGTGATTGCTAAACGGTGTTTTTCGGGGGCAGTGATAGAAATTTCTGGAATTAGATGATGGTGATGGTTGTACAATCTTGTGAATATACTAGAAACAATGAAAACCTCGTAAGTGGCAAATACTGTTCATATATGTGATTTGGGGATATTTTCAAAGAGGCACTTTGAGAATTATTGACATATAACCAGGCACATTCTGTAATACAGAGAAAAAAAATCAACAGCAACAAAATCACCAAGCGGCTCTTTTTCTTTTTTTCTTTTAGAGAGAGAGAGTACATGTGAGCAGTGGAGAGGTGCAGAGCAAGAGGGGCAGAGGCAGAGAGAGAAAATCTTAAGCGGGCTCCACGCTGAGCATGGAGCGCGACGCGGGGCTTGATCCCACCACCCTGGGATCACAACCTGAGCCGATATCAAGAGTCAGACACCCAACCGACTGAGCCACCCAAGCGCCCCATAACTCTTTCAACAGTGTTCCTTGCCTAAGACTGGTGGGGTCTTCTGGGAAGTAAAACAATGAACACACAGAATTTTTTTTAATCTCCTTTTCCTTATTTATTTCTGATGACAATGCTATTGAACACTAAAGTAGAAAACAACGTACAAAAAAGGGAAAGGTAAAAGCCAACTGGACAATTATGGATACACTAGATACGGCAGCAGAGAACATAATACAGTCAGATTCTAGATGTTGATAACAGCTTTACTGAGGTGTAATTTACATACACCAACATTCGCTCATTTCAAGTACACAATTCAATGATTATTAGAGAATCTGTGCAGAGTTTTCCAGAGTTATACAGCCATCACCCCAGCAGGGTCCCTCGTGCCCATCAGCACTCATTCCCCAGGCCACCCCCCAACCCCCGGCAACTACACATCTACCTCTGTCATGACGGATTTGCCTCTTCTGGGCATTTCATATAACTGGAGTCAGAGAATGTTGGTCTTTTATGACTGGCTTCTTGCACGTAGCAAATGTTTCCAAAACTTGTCCACGTTAGAGCATAATATCACTACTTCATTCCTTTATATCGCTGAATAGTATTTCTTTTAATGGATAGACCATGATTTGTCTATCCATTCACCAGTTGATGAACGTCTGGGTTGTTATACTTTTTGCCTATTGCGAATGCTGTTGCTGTGAACATTCATATACATGTCTTTGCGTGGGCTTATGTTTTCACTCGAGTATGTACCAAGGGGTGAGACTAGTGGGCTGTAGAGTAAAATTGTATTTGACTTCTTAAGAAACTGCCAAACTGTCTTCCAAAGTGGCTGCACTATTTTACATTCGCAGCATCAAAGTACAGGGTTCCAATTTCTCTACATCCTCGCCAACACTTGATATTTTCTGGTGTTTTGATGATAGCCACCGTAGTGCGCATGAAGTAGTATCTCATGGTGGTCTTGATTTGCCTTTCCCCGTGACTAATGCTGTTGAGCATCTTTTCATGTGCTTAGTGGACATGCCTGTATTTCTTTGATCTTCTTTGGTGGAATGTCTATTTGAATCTTTTGCTCACTTTATTTATTTATTTATTTATTTATTTAAGACACTGTAAGCAGAGGAGAGGGGAAAGAGAGAGAGAAAATTTTTTTTAGGTTTACTTATTTATTTTTAGAGAAAGAGAGAGAACGTGCACGTGCATAAATGGGGGAAAGGCAGAGAGAGAGGGGTAGAGAATCCCAAGGAGGCTCCACACCGTTGGTGTGAACCTGACGTGGGACTCGATCCCACGACCCTGGGATCATGATCTGAGCCAAAATCAAAAGTTGGATGCTCAACCACCCAGATGCCCCAAATCTTTTGCCCATTTTTAAAAACAATTGTTTAAAATGTTTATTTATTTTTGAGAGAGACAGAGACAGAGCATGACCAGGGGAGGGGCAGAGAAAGAGGGAAACACAGAATCTGAAACAGGCTCCAGGCTCTGAGCTGTCAGCACAGAGCCTGGTGTGGGGCTCAAACTCACAGGCCGTGAGATCATGACCTGAGCTTAAGTTGGACACCCAACCGACTGAGCCACCCAGGCACCCCTCTTTTGCCCATTTTTAAGTTGGGCTTCTTATTCTTTGGAATAGAGCCAAGAGGATTTGCTGATTGGTTGGAAGTTCGAAACGAGAGAAAGAAAGGAGTCGGTCATACTTCCAGAGTTTCTAGCTTAAGTTTTGCAAGTATGGGGCTGCTACTAAGTGGAAAAGTAGCATTGGAGAAAAGATCAGAAGCCTGAGCTTAAACAGACAAAGTCTGGGGCGCCTGGGTGGCTCAGTCAGTCGAGCATCCAACTCTTGGTTTCAGCTCAGGTCATGATCTCATGGTTTTATGAGTTCAAGCCTCGCACTGGGCTCTGTGCTGACAGCATGGAGCCTGCTTGGGATTCTCTCTCTCTCTCTCTCTCTCTCTCTCTGCCCTCCCCCACTTACGCTGTCTCTGTATCTCTCAAAAATAAATAAACTTAAAAAAATAAACCAAGTTTGAGATGCTTTAGGCATCCAAGTAGAGTTCTCAAGGAGGCTGTTAGATTTGGGGGCCTAGAATTCAGAGGGGAGATGCAAGCCCAAAGATAAAGAGGGGGAGTCATTAGCACATAGATGATACAGAGACCACAGAACTAGATAAATCAACAAAGGAGTGGGTGTAGATACAGAAGGTATCCGACGACTAAACTCTGGACGCTCCGAAGTTAAGAGGTTAGGAAAATAATGAGGAAGCAGCAAACAATACTGAGACAGAGCGGCCAGTAAGAGGGGAAACCCGGGAGAGCCAACCCACGGCAAGGCACGTGAAAAGCGTGAAGAAGGAAGCGAGCGTGTTGAATGGGGCTGAAAATTGTCCCTTGCATTTAGCGGTGTGGACGGTGGTGGTGGGTCGTGAGCAAGACGAGTTGGGAGTTGAGAGACCAGGGTTAGCTAGAAACTGGGGCATTTCATCCCAACGCAGAAGCGGGGAGGCAGAGTCCCGGGCCCCGTCGCTGCGGCCAGGAGAGCGTTCGCAGACTGTACTGTGCACTGCGAGGAGTCACTGAGGGCTTTGTGAAAACATACGTTCCGATTCAACAGGTCCAAGATGGGCCCCCCGGCTTTGTATCCGCTCCCAGGCCTGGCTGCAGCCCCTGATCCCAGGGCCTCACTGTGCGGTCGCCAGAGTGGAGCACTGAATTCATCCGCAGTTTCTTTTCTAAGGGCAGATCTAACCAGGCACGTAAATGGCACTGCTCTAAGATTTTCTGTGTCCTAGGGGCCTGATGTCATTGATACAGTGTAGCTCAAGTCTGTGGCCTGACAAGCAGGGAAGAAACGTGAGGAGCAATGACGGTGGGTGGAAACTTTAGCCCTGTTTGTTTTGTGACTGAAAGAGGGCGGGGCCTTCTCTGCAGAAATGCAAAAGCTGGGGCCCGGCCAACTGCCTGGACAGAGGCCTCTCTCTTTCTCTTTCTCTGTCAGTGCGAACTGGCCGAGGCGCCTCCCGCAAGGCCCCTTTGAGGAAGACTGCCATTATTTCTCCATTACATGCATGAATGTACTGAAGGTTCACAACGACTTGCTGAGATAAATATCCAATAGAGGTCCTATTTCGAATTCCCTCCCTCAGCTCGTTTGATTTTTTTTCCCCAACAACTTTATTTACTGAGATCTCAGTCCAGACCACACAGTTCGCCCATTTCAAGTGTATGATTCGATGGTACTTAGCACATTTGCCTCAAGCAGCATCCCCACCATCGACTTCTGACCATCCTCATCACCCTCAAAAGTAACCCCCAGGCCCTTGAGCCACCTTCTCAATGTGAAGTGATACTGAAATTCACTATGATGCCTGGAAACTTTCTGCTCAGCAACTTGTGAGATTTCACAAAGCGGGGGTGGGGAATACATCTGTTGCATGGCAACAGAGCCGTGGAGACGGCGGTCCTCGGCGTGAGAAGACACGACAGGCGAGATCCCCTGGTGGACTCAACAGATGCCAACACACAAGCCACTCAAACCAGGGGGTTCATTCCGGTCAGATGTGGGTGACCGGCTCCTTCAGCTGGCCCGACGGATGTGCGCTTGGGTCCCCTGCCATGGGCAAGAGCCAAGGGAGCAGGGCGTGGGCAAGCAAGCTGTGGCTACGCTGCGGCTGGGGATGGAAAATGGAAAGGGGTTTGCAGCCCCGTGACCTCAGTCCTTTAGGGATTGGATAGGAGGGACCCAGCCGGAGGCCCCCATGCGGCAAACTTGGAAACGACTTGTTTCCATCCACAAAGGTGAATTTAGCAAATTACGTTGCCATTCCGACGATTTAAAAGCAGCTGCTGGGGCGCTCTCTCCATGTTTATTACACCTTTTGAAAGTGAACACAGTCTAAAAATAGGGAAGATTTTGAATGCGCAACATTTTGTTTATTCCTCGGATCTGTAACTTTCCTAGGGCCGTTTTAGATTTTTTTAAAAACATATGTGCCATCGCTTGAAAAAGATTAATGACTCCTATTTGTACCTTGTTTGTATTTTATTTTATTTTTTTTTTAATATTTTTATTTACTTTTAGGAGAGAGAGAGAGACAGCGTGAGCAGTGGAGGGCCAGAGAGTGAGGGAATCACAGACTGAAACAGGCTCCAGGCTCTGAGCTGGCAGTCAGCACAGAGCCTGACGCGGGGCTCGAACCCACGAACTGCGAGATCATGACCTGAGCGAAAGTCGGACGCTTAACCGACTAAGTCACCCGGGTGCCCCTTACCTTGTTTGTATTTTAAAAGAAAGCAAATAAGTCCAACAAATTTTATTTTTTTAAAATTGTCCTGCAGGATGCCTGCAACAATTTATTTTATTTTATTTTTTTATGTTTTATTTATTTCTAGGAGAGAGAGAGAGACAGCGTGAGCAGGGGAGGGTCAGAGAGAGAGGGAGTCACAGACTGAAACAGGCTCCAGGCTCTGAGCTGGCAGTCAGCACAGAGCCCGACGCGGGGCTCGAACCCACGAACCGCGAGATCATGACCTAAGCGAAAGTCGACGCTCAACCGACTAAGCCACCCAGGCGCCCCAGGATGCCTGCAACAATTTAACAAAGGATACAAAACAGCTTGGTTAGTTTGTCATAATTGATTGTTATCTTTGTTATATAGTTTCCCTAGGTCACACAGAGAATGAAGATATAAAGGCTGCTATGTTTTAGAGGAAATGATATTTGAAGCTGCATTTATACACTTACAGTCTTCAAATTAAAAAAAAAGATATAAACATAAATGTCCTTTTAAAAGCTACATGTTTTTCTGTTTTTCTACATTATAATTTTTTTTAACATTTATTCAT